CAGTAGACTGTCAGTACTGTATCTGGCAATTAGCACTTAGGATGTACTCTACCTGTTGTATTTTGAATAGCTGGTATTTTACTGTTTACACAACCTTTAATCATCTCATAGTCAGTGAATCTCGTGTTCTTCATTTCTTTGGCAATGAAAAGTGAAAATAGTTTTGCTGATGGGACTATTTTGCATTGTACTGTTCAATGTTCATTGCAGCAGTAGGGCTGGGAGTGTAGACAGGGTTTCAAGTATATACCTAGTATACAAAGCCCTGGATTTTGATCTTCAGCGCTGGTGAAAAAGCAGAATTGCTGCAGTTGGAACAAACCCTTTTAAAATAATTTTTATTTATTTTTACTTTATGTATATGAGTGTGTTTTGTTTTGTTTTGTTCTGTTCTGTTCTGTTCTGTTCTGTTCTGTTCTGTTCTGTTCTGTTCTGTTTTGTTTTGTTTTGTTTTGTTTTGTGACAAGGTATCCCTGTAGTCCCAGCTGGCCTGGAACTCACTATATAGCTGGCCTTGATCTCACAGAGATCTGCCTGCCTCTGCCTCCTGAGTGCTGGGATTAAAGCCGAGGACCGTGTTCAGTTTACTACCTTCATGTATGTTAAGTGCGCTCATGTCCTGCAATGCATGCATAGGCCAGAAGAGGGCATTGGATCCCCTGGAACTGGAGTTACTGTTGGTTCTTAGGCACTGGCCCCTGTGGGTACTGGGAACTGAATCTGGGTCCTCTGTAAGAGTAGCCAGTGCTCTTAACTTCTGAGCCATCTCTTGAGCCCCAGAAACAAACTTTTATACTATAAAATATTCACAAAGGGCACTGCAAATGATCTAAGCTTTATTTTTCAAAGATTTAATTTGAATTTCTCTTGGAAAATCAGAATTCAGATTTCTTTTACTTTCAGTGTATGCTCATGTGCACATACACACATAGATGCAATTGTATGCATGTATATAGTTATATACATTGTCTAAAGGCCATGGATATGCCCACTTCCATAAAGTCTCCTAAGATAATTTGATGTAGAAAGAGAAATAAAATTCACATGGAACATATGAATATTTAGAACTAATTCCATTGATTTTGGTTTGGGGGAGTGATCAGAAATTAAAGAAGTTTAAATGAGTATTAGTTTCCATTTTTGTTCTTATATCCAATATTAACTAAGTGTCTAGCATTTTTTAAGATTTTGTCTTTAATTCTTTGTGCAAAAACTTATCACTTCATTGTGGAGTAGCTTGAATCCTGAAGAACTCAACTGCAATATAATTCTAAGTGTATTCTAATTTGGTTTATTAAGGAATTCTGAAAGGATAGGACAAAAGAAATTTAGTTTTCAGTATTTGCTTTGGATTGGGGGGCAGCGGTACTTGGGAGTGTATGTGCTTAAGCACGCACAAAAGGCAAATGACATAAAAACTTAGCTTTCTTATTTCCTTGGTTTGAGAAATTGGCTACTTGCTAGATTTTCTGGATGTTAGGATTAAATATTTCATCTCAGTATTTCTTAAAATGAAAACCATTTGATTTAAGTTGAATCTAATGGGCTAAGCAGATCATTTAGATAGAAAAGGAAACATGTTCCAGTACAGATCAGAAATTTCCTCTTTTATGCAATATATTGATGCAAGGACTTTCTTGTTGTTTGAACCAGAGGTTCATGTAGCCCAGGCTACCCCCAAAATCATATGTAGGCAGGGAGGACTTTAATTCTTGATCCTCATGCCTCCCAAGTGGTAGGATTGTGGGTGTGTGCCACCATGCTGGACCTTTCTTTTCTTTTTTTTTCCCTTCGTCCCTCCCTACCTACCTTTTTTCCATCCATGTAGCCCTGACTGGCCTGGTACTCACTATGTAGATCAGGTTGGACTTCTGTTTCTGACTTCTAAGGACTAGCAGTATAGGCATGAGCCCATTATGAGGACTGGCTAACACTGGTTTTAAATGTTACCAACTGATTAAATTTACACCTTAAACTGTTTTTTTAGATAAGGTCTCCCTCCATAGCCCAATTGGCCTGAAATTTGTTATGTGGACCAGGCTAGCCTGAAACTCAGAGAAATCTGCCTGCTTCTGCCTCCTGAGTGCTGGGATTAAAGGCATGTGCCACCACACCTGGCCCACCTTAAACTTTTGAATCTAGTTTTGTCCCAGTGTTCTATGTCCCCAATTATTCCAGTTAGGGCTAGAGAGGTCAGTCTTTACACCTGCCTAGTGCTTTACAGTTACCAAGCTTGCTCTTCACTGTCACCGTGTAAAGAATTGACCCTCATGCCAGTATGAAACCATGACTCACATGAAGATTTCCTCCAAGGTCGTGCATTTAACTCCTGGAGCTTGGGCTTGAGCTTAAATTTTCTAACTCAAGACCATTCTTTCCTCAAGGATCTTACAACTGTTGGGCTTTTCAGATATTTGCTCGCCACAGAACGAAGCCAGACAAGGGTGCCATAGGACCTTCAGAGAAGAAGCAGCCAGACACAAGATCTCTGGTGGAAGCAATTAATTGGTTTGGCAAATCAAAGAATATTCTGTGCTAAACTTAGAGGAGTGGATTAAGCAGGTGGCGTTGAGTTTGTGAGGGTGGAGGAGCAAGAGGGTTAGAATTGGGCCTCTGTAGCTGACCTGACTAGAGAGGGGCATTGCCACTGGGTGGTGCTTAGTGTAGAGAAAGAGGTTACCTTGAAGGGACCAGGTCTCAGGTGAAGCCAATCAGATATAACTTGATTTTCATCAAAGCAGGTAGGTAAATTTGGAGAGGAAGTGATTGAAGAAGAAACACAAGAAAGGTACTATGAACTTACTGACATATATATATATATATGGCCCAGAATTGCTAAGCCATAAAGAGTGAGAATCTGAACAGGGTGAGATTTGGCGCCAGGGTTTGGGAGAGTATGCTGCCAGTGGACATGGAAAGATCTGTGTAGGGAGGGAGGAGTATCAGCTTTGGTGTCCTGGTATAACCACTCTGCCATGGTGGGAATACTGCTGCCCTCCATCCTTCACCCCAGGTTAGATGGAGATGAAATTCCACCACAGCTCACAATCTTCCCTTAGGTGGTCAGATTTTAGAAAGTGAAATGCAACAGTATACACTCACCATCCACTGTCTGATGTCATATTGTTATCTTATACTTAAAATATCTTCTGTCCCATGGTTGACCCTACGTCTGTCACCTAATTGTGCTCTTGTTCCTACAGCCTGGAGTCCTTGGCTACTTTGAGTTCAGTGGCTCGCCCCAGCCTCCAGGCTATCTGACCTTCTTTACAGCAGCATTGCATTCTTTAAAGAAAGGTAAACCGATTTGTATTAAGACATTAGCAGTTTAGCAGAAGTATGTTTATTTTTGGTAACTTTTGCATATAGTATCTTTATGATTATATTTTTTAAGTTGCTAGTTTCTTTTTCTCAATGTATTTTTAGTAAAAATTATGTTGTTTAATGTTCTATTACTAAAATGCATTGTACTATTTAAAATACATCCTCTTATATTTAGCATATTATTATAAAAATAGAGTTTGACCATCTGATGTCTAAAACTTTGTTTTGTACTTTATTTATTATGCTATTGTCATCTTTGAGTATGAAGCTGCAGGTTTTGGTCTGAGTTTTCAGTGTTTATCTGTTAGTTGGCTATACCTTCCCTTTATTTAGCAGTACACTTCTTCAAGGGCTGTTTTACAAAGATCAAAGGTATGCTTTGTACAGTACAGGGCAAGCCTGCTATCAGTTTCACCCTTCTCAGATCTGCATTGTTTGTACTTAGTTGAGTCATGTATTTATTTGGAGTCCTGCTATTTATGTTAAGTGCCATATCCTACTCCATTTTCCATCTTGCTCTGTGTTCTCTCGAGGTCATGACTATACGCCCATCTCTCAGTTCCGTTGTTACATTCATCTGCTTGCCTCCCTTGTCTCTTTTGTTACCACTGTGGTGTTTCACCCACACTTGGACTAGACAGTGGACCCTGAGGTGCTATCCAGCCTCCTACTTCTTCCTCTCACACCTTTGCTCTGTGTGTTGGTCCTACCTACAAAGCAGAAGTGCCCCCAGCCCTCTACTTGTCAGACTCCTATTCACCCTTTAGAATCCAGCTCAAATACCACTCTTAGAGTTCAGTGACTGAGCCCCTCTCCTAATCTAAATTGAGCTCCCTGTTGTTTTCTTTCTGGTATTTAGTACTGTGTACACGCATCTATATATGTAGTTAGAAGATAATTTGTTCAATGTCTGTTTCCTAGACTTAGATTTCTGGGGGGTAGGGACCATGTGTTTTTCTCCAGTGGCTAGCTATAGCAGGGGCTCACTCTCAGTATTTGCCAAGTGAATGATCATGTTAATGACTGTATCATCTTACTCCAGTAGATCAACCAAAAATATCCATCCATCTGTTTTTTTATTAGATATTAGATTACTTCAGGTTTTTAAAATTATAGTAGTATGTCATTAGTACATTGAACAGTTATATGACTGACCATCTTAATGTACATTATTGTCTTATGGTTTTATGCACAGAGAATTTATTGTGCTTTTTTTTTTTAATCTGGGAGATAATAGGGGAGGAATGTAAGTGTGTATTCTGTCTACTTGAAAGACTGAGCTGCACAGCTTCAAGTTACTAAGGCTTAGTGAATGCAAGTTAATGCTTATTTTTTTCCTGTACTTGGGATTGGACCTCCTGCTTTGTGCCCTATCACTGATCTACTTCCCTAGCCCTCTTCACCTTTTTCATTTTGAGAGAGTCTCACTAAGTTGCCCAGGCTGGCTTTTAACTCACTCTGTAGCCCAAGCAAGCCTTGAACTTGCAATTCTGCCTCAGCCTCCCAAGTAGCTGAGATTGTAGGCCTCTACCATGAGGCTTGGCTCTAAGTTTGAAGTTTGAAAACAAAATGCAACTTAAATAAGCCAAAGAAGCAGACATTTAAGAGCTCTTCATGGAGTATTAAATAAAGCACTTCAAGAACACTGTAATTAAGATTATATATGAAAAGGGAACCCAGTGAGTCACTAAGACCTGGCCACATTCAAGTTCTTGAGCTTACTCAGTCAACTTACATTATATGCTGCTATGCCACATTAGTAGAAATGAGTCACTCATGTTAAACTGCTTTCATGTATAGGGCTTCTAATTTGAAAAGCCTTTCTAGATACAAGGCAGCAGTCTTCCCTTCCCCCTCCTTTCTTTAAGCAAAAGGAGGGTAAAATAGGGATAAATAAAATAGGGGTGTAAAATAAGCTCAAGAGGGATAAATGGCTAAAAATCACTCTAGCTGGATGTGCTGGTAACACTTACAGTCTTTACTACTCAGGAAGCTGAGACAGGAGGGTCATTTGTGTCCAGGAGTCTGAGGCCACCCTGGAAAACATCGTAAGTGCAAGGACCCTGGGTCCCATCCTCAGCACCACAAAAGCAAAAAACAAAACAAAAGAAAACCAGAAGGCCTCAGAAGTACAAAGTGAATGTCCTTGATAATTTGATAACATGAAAACCTGTCTCATGATCCATGTGGTGTGACTTCCCTTTTCTATGTTCCCTCCTAGTGCTGTGATTCTAGTTGTGTCTTTAAATCCTGTTGTATATGCAAATGTGTGGGAACTGAAATTCATGCTAATCAATCCTACTTTTTTTTTTCTGTCTTTTTTTGAGACAGGGGTCTCCTTGTAACCCCAGATGTCCTGGTGGAACTCACTATATAGACCAGGTTGGCCTCGAACTCACAAAGAGCCACTGCCTCTGCCTCCCAAGTGCTGGGATTAAAGGCGTATGCCACCACACCCAGCATTAATCCTACTTTTTTTGTGGTTAATATCCTACTTAAGTTTAATGATTCGTTTTTAGAAGAAAAAGACAAATTTGGAGTGATTTTTTTTTTTCTTTTCTCCTCCTGTGTACCCTCAAGGATTACCTAAAATAAATCTTGCTGTGAACATCTGCCCCCTCTTCTGTCTTTCTCTGAGATCCAACTTTCCTTATTATTAACAGCAGATGTGCATAAGAGAAACACATACATACTTTTTTCACTGGTAGAGTTTCAAATGTAAATTCTAGGTCAATGTCTTATTTAGGTTGTGCACACAAATTGAGGCCTGAGAAACATTTGATACACTTAGCACTTGCTTATAGAGGGCTGAATTGAAGTGTTTAGACTATTGTGGTAGAAAGCAGATGCCCTGGTTCAAATATACGTCTTCTCACTGACTTAATGGTGTGTGTGTGTGTATGGGGGTTAGGACTCAAATGTAGGGCCTCTCACTTGCTAAGCAAACACTTTTCTATCGAGCTATAACCTCAGTCCATCTTAGTAACTTTAGAAATAGGATACTCAGCCCATCTAAATAATTTAAAAAATTATCTTAGAAATAGGATACTCAGAAATAGGATGACTCAGCGGTTAAGAGCACTGGCTGCTCTTGCAGAGGACCTGGGTTCAGTTCCCAACACCCACATGGCAGCTAACAGCCATCCATAATTCCAGTTCCAGAGGATCTGATACCCTCTCTGGCCTCGTGGGCATTGTATGGCACGGGTGCACTACATACATGCAGGCAGTACACTCATACACATGAAAAATAAAAAAGATAAAATATTAAAGAAAAGAAATAGGGTATTCTCTGAGTTCTGCATTTGTTTGGAAGCTAGCTGTCCATCAGTGTATAAATAAGTTGAAAGTATGTAACTTATGATGCACCATGGCTGGTGCTATGTGGTGTGCCAAGAGAAGAGCTCACACTCGCCTGCAGGGGTGTGGGAATGGAGTTATATTTTGCCTTACTACTCCCATAAGCCTGTTGTTTGATACCTTTACATATTAGAAGTCAAGAAATTAAGAGAAATTTGTTCACCATCTTAGTGCTGTAATGTGATGTGCTGTCTCTCTTTGCTTTTGGAACTCTCTCCTTTTGTTGTGGCCACTGGAGCCCTTTTCCTGTGGCTCGCTTAGCCTTGTTGCTACTCTGTCAGTTGATATAGACTGTCTGCTAGCAGGTATGGGCAGGAAACTTCTGTTGTGTTTCTGCCCATTTTTTCCAAGCTTCTTTACTACTGGTATTATTTTTTATGTGGCAGTTTTTTTTAAATTTATTATTTTTATTTTATTTTTTATTTGTTTATTTTTGTCTTTTTTGAGACAGGGTCTCCTTGTAGCCCCAGCTGTCCTGGAACTCACTATGTAGACCAGGCTGGCCTCAAACTCACAAAGATCTGCCTGCCTCTGCCTCCCAAGTGCTGGGATTAAAGGCGTGCGCCACCACGCCTGGCACTAGATTGTTTTTTAAAATATAAAAGTTATACACAGGAGCCAAGGATCCAAATGCAGCCGATTATGACTAGTAATAATCAGTACATACAGATTAGAGATGCATGGGCCAACATCTCAGTGCTAGTAGCAAAAAACAATGAGTCTGCAAGGAACAATATATTCTAAAATGAAATGGAGTTTTTTTTTTGTTTTGTTTTTTTTTTTTTTTTTGTTTTTTTTACAGGGTCTCCCTGTAGCCCCAGCCGGCCTGGAATTCACTATGTAGATCAGGATGGCCATGAACTCACAGAGATCCTCCTGCCTCTGCCTCCCAAGTGCTGGGATTAAAGG